AATATAAATATTTGAAAAGATTTGTAGAAGTCCGTGATGCGGAGTCTCGCACAATAGAGAAATGAACCAGAATGCCGTGGTGTAAGGACTTGTTATTCAAGTATACGTATGAGATGTTAATTGACGTATAATTATATCTTGATCCTTTGTTTCGAGATTGTGATGCAATAGTTTACGGATCTCTATTACAAGTTTAAAGAACATTCTATAATGTAATCACCTTGGATTGACAAATGGATGGGATAAGAAATTGATGATTGAGCGACGAAGAGCGACCGACGACGACGATGACGCGACGCGGAGGATGATGATGATATTTATATAATTTAACTCTCATTATGACATTATGTATGATTAATATATGTCTCGCTCGACATGTGATGAGTATGTTTATATCATGTAATGTAACCTGATTGTACTGTTATCATGATTTATGATGTTAGTTGTTGGATTAAACATACGCTTTTTTTAATTTGTAATCTAATTGTTTACATACTTAAAAAATAGATAATTTATCCCAAGAATAAAACGGAAGAAAAATCAAAACAGAAAATAATCAAATAATATATATACATTACATTTATTCTAAAGAAAGAGAAAAGGGATTAGATGGGAAGTTGGGGGTTCGTGAGTGTGTGGGAAATGGAGAAGTTGTGGCAGAGGGAGATCGGATTAACGAAGGTGATGAGTAATTGAGGTCGTGGCAGAGCTGTGGTGACGGGAGTGATAGTGTGCATGGGGGATGAATCTAGTTATAAATTGAATAAACAAACAATGTCTTCTCTGTATATTTCTCATCTTTTTATCCTTTTACAATCAGCATGGCAATGCATTGCCTAAACAACAAATAAATTAGAATAATTTGTTTGCATACAAATTAGTCAATTTCACAAGTTCAAATGATGCGCAGAATATCATGCTCGGTTCACAACGTCGTCTTAACGTTAATTGTCGCTCTCAATATCAGAAGGTCTCTGTGAAGAAAAGCATAGACGTATCTAATGTATGTTATGTATGTTTTTATTAACAAATGCATATTTTGGTTCATTAAGTTTTACATTCGGCATTGTCCCGACCACAGTTAAAAAGAAAATATATATCACCTCAACACAACGTAGGATCGGTTAATGAAAGAATATATATTTATATATATATATTTGAAAACAGTTTATATCAAATAGAAGATCTTGACAGACTATTGCTTTTTCATAATGTAACAGATTTGTAAATATTTCAATTCGGTAAATATACGACAAAAGTTCATATCATTAGTTAAAGGAAAGATATTTTCTAGACATATAACGTCAAAATAGGCAAAATATTGTGTTAAAATGTTTAACAAATTTTCAGTCAGAGTATCTTATTATACACGTGATGACGCTGATAAAACGTTTATTCTAATCTTAAATTTGAGACACTTCACAAAATAATAATAAAATACACTCGACAAAACTCATCATCGTTTGTTTGTTTAATAGATAACTTTGCAGCATATAATTACCGTATAATTGTATTTTTTATGTGGGATAAAACTAAGCACTTGCTGGTTATTATTACATGTTCAAATACATTTTGAAGTACTGGTAATAATAATTATATATGCTTGTATAAATTGTCACTAATAGTCTGTCTAAATATTCTTAAATATCTTATTAACTGCTGTAAATTTAATTCAATGTCTTATTTACTAATAAGAAATCCACTGAATGTGTTCATGACATAAGTATCCTCTGCAGCTAACACATGACTGTTACTTCCGTATGTATTTGTTACTCAGACCTGTCTTCAGTTAAATCAGTTCTGAAGTCTTATACATATTAAACTTTATTACGTACAAATGGTTGATATATTGTTTCCTAATAAAGTTTTACAAATTGCGTTCAAAGAATACTCGAAATTTATCCTCGAGTTTATCATCTGTCGCTTAAGGTAATATTACAATGTTACTCAATCTACCTGTTTTAAAACTTGAATGGTGAGCTGACAGTCTTTAACTGGTGAAAGCCGTCAAATAGTTCTTTGTATTAACATTTTTCAAATAATCGCCTAATTCAGATTTTGCAAATACAATTAAAAATTGCTCGTGATGATATATTTGTACTAAATCTTTCATGAATAAAAGCTTTTTTGAGGCCCAAACTGGGTTTCACCACAATTCATCCCGTAATAAGTATTAGAGGGTCAGGTCATCCCTCTCATACCCTACAACATTGATGAATATATATTACATTGTAATATTTACAAAACATAATGCTCTAATGTCCCTTATGTTCTATCATTTTATAAGACTAAGTATAATTAGAGAAAATATACAAATACAATGTAGTCTATTTTACACATATATTTATCATTAAAAAATAACAGCGTTTACAGGTGAATAGCGTAAAATGAAAACAGAATGTCAGTGAAATTTATTCAAGCAAAGATGTTACAATTTGTCAGCTTTTAGTTTCAGTGTCAGACATTTTTTTATTTTTTTTTTCTAATTATTCAAAGCTAGTTTCAGACCTAAGCCATTACATCTTGGTAACAGTTTTTTTCTCTAGGACGAAAATTCAATTCTAAAATCAATATGTCATTTTCAGGTTCCTTGTCTTCTGAACCTAAAACAAGATATTTACAATTGAAAATATTGTCAAAATTATGTGTGTTAGTCTACAAATATTGAAATAGAGCCTGAATTTTATAACATTCCCAATATAAATGTATTTAAGTGTTTCTTCTTGAAAGTTACAGAAAGTACACTTTTACGATCAACAATTTTCATTTTAAACAAAAGTGAGTTTGTTCCTAAAGTTCTGTGTATTATTCTAATCTGGAACTGTTGAATGTATTAATCTTTGGTATATTTAAATCCTCAACTTGTATATTAGGTTATTTCTAATTTCCTCAAACTAGATCTGAGTTTTTAAATTTTAAATTCTAAACAATTGCAATAAATGGTGATATTTACCTATACATTTAACTGGTTTTGGTATATTGTTGATATTATAGGAATCGTTTTACATAAAACTCTTTCCAACTTATTCAAGGGCAATTCAATTTGATTAAGATTTTAAACCTCACTACTTGGTGTGAAAATAGTGATTATTCTAAAATTTAAAATCCTATGTCGAATCAAAGAAATCTAAAATAGAAAACAAAATGGAGACTACGTTGCATATTTGTGTGGTTTTTTGTCCAAATTGCCTGTGAACGCTTGTTATTCAATATGTTATGATGATGATGATTACTATCAAGAACCTGATGACGATCATGATGATGATGTTGAGGATTAAAACATTACGCTTTTGATTTGTAATCAATTGTTACATACTACAAATTTTTTTCAGAAATAAAACAAAGAAAATCAAACAGAAATTATCATATATTTACTTACTTTAGTCTTAAAGAAAGATTAAATGATTAATGGATATCTAGTTTCGTGATGTGTAAATGGAAATTATCAAGATATATCAATTAACGAGATATATTAATATGTCTGCAGACTTGTGAACATGATATGTCAATAAATCTGTTTAATGATACACAACATTTCTTCTTGTATATTCTATCTTTTTATCCTTTTTACAATCAGCATGCATGCTTCCTACAACAAATAATATATAATTTTTGCATACAAATGTAGTCAGCTTCACACGTTCAAATGTTGGCAAACAGTTCAAAATAAAAATTTAAGGAAATATATTTTCTAGACCTTTATAGTCATGATAAGCAAATACTTCTGTAGCATGCTTTAAGGATTTTCAGTCACAGTAACTTATTATGCACGTGATGACGCCGATAAAAATGTTTATTTGTTTTTAAAAATTGATAACAAAAAAAAACACAGTCAAAACTCGATATCCTTGAATTAATTGATAACTTTGCAGCATCAAATTATATCTAAATATGTCATGTGGAGTGGAAATAAAGCACTTGTATGTTACTTTTGCCTATTTAAATGTATTCTAATGTCTTGAAAATGATTTTCTATAGACCCTTTCATTTAAGCGATAACAGTCAATGAAGAGTTACTTCCCTTACCGGATGTGACGTAAATGGGGGATAATTTTTTAGGGTGCATTTTTTAGAGTTATAACATTACATCAGATTACGTCACTTTTGTTAGTTGTCAAAATATTTATGGTCCGAATTTTGTTATGGATCATCCTAGAGACTTTATTGGTCATGCCTTACTGATTTGATACTCGATCCAGAGTCCTACCAACTGGCACAGTCAAAAATACGTAAAATTATAATTCAGTTAATAACAACTTGTTTTTGTTGGGGTTTTTTTGTGCTTTTTAAAATATTTGATAAGCAGAGTATGAATTAAAAAGTATCAAGTTGAAAATATTACTTTACCAGCTTGAATAATATTGGTGTGATGTACGATTTTTTGAGAGTGCATTTTTGCCGACACAAATAGTATACAGTCCTGTACATTCAAAAGAATTTTTATTTTTTATGCCTTTACATTTTTTTTTTTGTATTACATAGATTTATATTGTTTTCTTTTCTTTGTCTTAGTAATGCTTAAATCAAAATTATTTTAATAAACCAGTATCTTGCAATTAATTATTACGCAGCCGTTTTTCGAAACAACAGAATCCTTACATTTTTGAAACTCAAAATATCTTTTGGGTATTTTATATTAGCAGAGACCTAGATACATTATTTATATGTCTGGTATTAGCAAGTTAGTACGATTTAACTGCCTGGTAAAATTTTCATTATTAAGAATCTAACGAAAATGGTAAGATCATGATCAGTTACCCAGGAATATTTCTACTATTATAACAAATCGTTAACCATATTATATAGCAAACATATTTATTCATTTCACCATCCTTTTTATGTAATATCTTATTTAATTTCACAAAATTTTGGCAATTTCAATCTGCCAATCTTAAAAAAGAAAGGTTTAAGATCTTTATATCCCTCTATTATTATACTTAATCGTATCGGCATTGTCCACCGTATCCCCCAATGACGTCATCCAAGGGCGACAACTTGAATACGGTCTCTATAGGCTTGCATATTTTATCACATATAGGAAGTCTTAATATGCTTAAATATCTTATCAACTGTTGTAAATTTCTTTCGATATCTATTTACTTATAAGAACTCCACTGAATGTGTTCATAACATAAGTATCCTCTCCAGCTAACACGTGACCGGTACTTCCGTATGTACTTGCTACCCAGACCTGTCTTCCGTTTTCCATTGGAACAATGGCCGATACCGATCCACAACTATATCCTTGACTATTGTAATTTATCGATTTCGAAACAAATGTACCATCTAAGGCCAGTCCGATAGTCGAGTATTTTTTATATGAAGCACAGACATGGACAGTAAACAGGTACACGCCTTCAATAGACGCTGTGAAGACTCCTGTGGCATTGTTATATCCTGATCCCTCGTTTGCTATTACCTTTTGAAATACAAGGATCTCGTGCGTACGGTCAAGTATCAAATCTTTGACATCGTGAGCAAGGAATGTGACAGTCGGCTGTAGTATCGTTTCTGTAAATAACACACAAGAATCGCAGAATGTTAAATTACCAAATTACTTATAGAAATTACTTTTTTAAATCAACAATTCAGAATAATTAATAGATAAAGCAAATAACGTTGTTAAAAAGCACTGGTTTTATCTTGAAATTCATTTCATTGTATATAGAATAAATGATGTTGCTTTTTTTTATTATGACGTAATTCAATTAAGGAATAAAGGTGTTTGGTCCAACGATAGAAATGGCATAAGCATGCATGTACACTAACACATCGCGCACGTACATATGTACATAAAGACAATCTAACGATTGACCCAAAAATACAATTACTTTTAGTTTCAGCCAGGATGTTTACTTCGTTCTTCATTTCTTTCTTGAAGTTGTTTTTCAGCTCTTCAAATTTGACTTCAAACAGTTCTGAAACGAAAATAATTGTATGTATCAAAATATCATTCACGTCAACTCAATGTGTATTTATATAAAAGTTTTAAAAAATGACATTGATGATAATAATAGCTTTTTATAATATCAATACTGTACAATTTTTACTTACAAAATCCAAAAACAATTGCATAAATTTACATCCGATGTATATATTTTGTATGAATAATATTATAATATATGTTATTTTGGTTTTGGAGTGATATATGTGGATAGACGGCGAGGGTGATATTTTATCTTGTCATGTAATATATCCACATATATCACTCCAAATCCAAAATAATAATTTTATTACCCTTCCCCTGCCGAGTTAAGAACATTTTAAAATAAATCATTGCTACTTCAAATAAAACGTCGAAATAAGATTCCCTTTAGGGTACCCCTTCATCACTACATGACGTCACATAAATACATGACGTATTTTCTTTCGAACCTAACCAATGTAAACAAGAGAAAAGGAGTAGTCTGTTGAACGCACTTTTTTGGAATTAATATCAAGCTTTCTTAAGGTCATATTTGTTTTCAATACTGATTAGAATATGTATGATAACTTTATTTTGGTAAATATTTATCATTTGACAGTTAAAAAGTGCTTGTAAATCGGAATTTACATCGCGTAAAATCAAACCGTACGCGCATCGCCATAGCGCATGTTGTTTAGAACGTGGGGTACCCAACGGGGAAATTTAGTGTGTATATTACCCGTCTGGCTCGGTTATATCAATTTCTTTCGGGTGATCAATATCCAATCAAAAGGCGGAAAAAATCTGGAAGGGTAATAAACAGTTATATTTAGGACAAACATAAAAAGAAAGTGAGATAAAAAGTCGGTCTTATTCATATTTGACAAATATCTTGCGTCATTTGTAAGATAAGTATAAAAATCAATCAAACTTACCTTCTTTCTCCTGCAATTCCTCAAATTGAGTCCCAATCTCTCCCGTTAGATTATTTCTAAAGTCGTCGATCTTATTTTGATTCTCAGCAGCTGTTTTCTCAATGTCTAAAAGAGTATTTAAGACAGTTTCTTCCGTATTCTTTATTTCGTTCTGCATTGTTTCTACTTTAATCTCTGTGCGTATCATTTTCTCAAGGAGTTTTTCTTCGTACGAAAACTTAGAACAAACGGGTTCAGTTGCCATGGAGACACGTGGTTCAAAGAGAAAAATTATTGCAGAAAGCGCAAAGAAAGCAGTAGAAAACATTTTGACTTTCTTTACATGCAATAATAAGAAGACTTATGAAAAAGATTTTAGTTTGTTTCTTAAAGCCACTTAAAGCCAAAAACCCTGAAACAAAAAGGGAAAGGGACGTTCAAAAATGTGCAATCCAAAGCTGACAAAATATGCTAGTAATCAGCGGACACGTTTTATTCTTCTGTTTAAGTTTTAATAGAAATCAATCACATTCATAAAGCACATAAAGCAGAAAATACGTTCATTTTAATGACAACAAAGCATGACAACATATCAATGACAACACAGTAATTGCAAATTTGATGACAAATCATCTATGTAACATAGCAACAATGCCATAGAAACGACAACATAGCAACGGTAACATATCGACCACAATACGGTAATGATACTGTACAAATATCGCTGAAAACAAAGAAATCATGACATAGAGATGACAGCATAATCATGGCCACATATCAGTTTAAACAGGGCATCGGTAAGAAAATGATTACAACTTAGCAGTAAACGATAGCAATGACAAAATAGCGGCGACTACATTACAACAATTTTAACATAGCAACATAATAGCATTGATAATGTAGAGATTAGATAATAGAGATGTCAATATAACTTTATAAATATAGGGATAATAACATAGCGATAAATATGAAGTTATAACAATAGCAGTATCAATATAGAAAAAACTACTTTTATTAAATCACAGCAATGGCAGCATAGCAACTATTAATTAAAGAGACTACCGATCAGTAAACATAAGAGGTATAGGCATCTGTCTTGAATCAAGCAAAATACATACTTGCATAAATAGATTGCCTCACAAAGGTAGTGCCATTTTTATACTCTATTCTATTACATAAAAATATATTAATTGTTATTATCCTAACTAGTTTTAGGAATCAGTGCCACCAAATCCAAAAAAAATATATTTTTTCCAACATACATATAATGCCATGTGCAAAAGTTCTCCATACATTTTGAAATTTTTACAATATCTAAGATGATAAGAAATATAGAAGAAATGAGAGTGAAAGAAGCGTTAAAACTTTTGAACTATTCCTTTATTAACATTATTGTATTGAGTTAACGAGTTTTCGTGGAGGGTTTGATATTGCTTTAATTAATCACTGAAACAAGATATATCACGTATTTGTCCTTTTAATACTTAAAATACTTAAGAAACAGCAAAATAACATGCTTAATTGTAATTGCTTCATATTGACAGGTCAAGTATATGGTATAATAATTGGCAGTTTTTCTATCATTATGTATATGTATAAGTACGGAACGGAACCAATAAATTACAGTTTTTGGTTAAATAACTATGACCTAGGTTTGAAATAGGACGGAAATTAAGATTTGTGATTGTTATAATACTTTATATAATACAATATTATAACGTATACAACTTTTGCATATAAAGAGCAACGTCTGTTAAAACTGTTTATGTAACATAAGCCTCAGAGTCTAATTAGCTTTCTTTGTAATCGGAAAAAGATGTGACAGAGTTAACCCTTTCCCTCATGAGCATATTGTGAAAAATGGCCGTTATCATTGAAAAGCCTCCTGTTACAAGTCCAAACTGCTATGAAACAATGAAAAATGGTTCAATACTAATCAAACTTGGCACAAATGTTTTTCTTCTTAGCTTTTTTTTGCGTTGCTATTATTTATTATTCTGAATGTAACCATATACACATGTACGTGTACATGTAAACTAATGATACATAATGCCTTGTATTAAAAATGAAATTGCAATACCATAATTGCTACTACTAAAATTCCAAAGCATAATTGTTCATTGAAATCGATAGCTATGTCAGGTATAGTTATGTCAGATATAATATGCATTTCAGTATGTGACGACTTAACTTGTATAGAAAATGAAATAACAAGAATAAAATTATTCACGTTTCCCATTGTTATTTCATTCCAGTCCGTAGTTTAGTTTATGCTTCGATAAGTCTACAACATATTTTGTTTCATGCATATTATATTACATTGCACGGTTTTCACGTGTTTTGTACCAGTGTGTAGGTATATATTCGGTGTTTTACTATTGTTTCTCACTCGAGGCAGTATTTGACAGCTTTAAACACGTTCTTTAGAGTTATAGTTATTTCCTCTTCCCGCCCTCCCAGTTTCTAAGAAAGGATGCTATTTAGTGGTTTTCAGAGTATCGTTATAAAAAATTATGTTTTACCTAGAAAATTAATTTCAAATATTAATATAGAACAAGTACAAATGTTGCTGCAATGCAGCAATTGAGAAGCACCGCGCAGAAGAATGCGCTCATTACAGATACCTAACCAAATCATTTCTGTGCACAAGTCATTTTCTATTTAGATTAAGTACTAGTGTACATTATCAAGGGCATCCGAGCAAGAAATGCAGCATGTGAGGATGACCTATTAGGCATCTGCAGTCCAGATATTCTTACAAGTAAAATGGTTTCCTGCGGTGAACATTTTAATGATAAAAAGATATTTCATTTAACTATTTTCAACATTATTTGGGGGGTGGGAATAAATAAACGTTTGTATCCGGAATATAGTTGACAATTGAATAAACGATCAATATAGAAGAAGGTCTTTGGAAACTGGTGACCGTTGAAGACTGGAGAAGGTCGAACATAAAACAATTATTTCTTTTTAAGAAAATGATTAAATAGGCCTGCCATTTTATGAATAATTCCGAGCAAAAATTAAATAAAGTAAACACACAAGTTTACGCAGAAAATATCTCTATTTATTATGGCAGATGCCCCTACGAATATTTTAATTTTGTAAATTTTCAGTGTAAACAATTTATTGTTTGTAAAATTTGAGATAGATATTAAAGAAACATTGATAATTTTCAAACACATCATTCAAGTTTTTCCACCTTAAACGGTAAAATAATTATAGAAAATTAGAAATATCACGTAATAGTTTTTTGTTCTTAATAAGTTGTAATTAGGACTAATTCCCTACAGATAAATCCGTAACGTAACGGCAAACGGTATTTAGCTAGGTTTTATGAAAGGTCGATAAACCAATCATGTACGGTTTACAGATCACATGCTCCTCCATGTACCGAAAACAGGTCACGTGCTCCTCCATGCCTCAAAAGTAAAACGCGTACCAATACACTGCGGTCTCCAGACCGCAGGGAATAAACTTTTCAATGGTTAATTGGATTTTACCAAAATTGTACATGCATATCAATAGATGAATGGGCGGACGAATGACATTGTTTATCTTGAACTTTGGTAGGCTTGCTAGAGATAAGAATATTAAATGCATTTTCTTTGAAACATACAAAACAGTAGTTAAAATGAACAAAGTCTTTCTTTTATTATTATGGTTGTAACAAATATACAAAGAGAATATAAAAATAGCAATAAAAGGAACTAGGAACTAATATAGTAACATTGCATGTATTTTCATATTTCAAATTATGTAAATTGGTTTCTTTTAATACCTGTTAAGATAAAATAGCAATATGTATATTATAGTAAGTCCCAGATAAATTTTGGAAGAAGTACACATACTGGAATGAAAAATTGTGATGAATTACAAAATTACCAAATTCGGGATTTTTTGTTATACGCTTTAACAACATTAAAAATTATGGTTAATTTTACATGGCATGTTGATATAGTGAAACATTTTATACCAATTGAAGACTGTTACTTGAATTTTAGACAGATATGAGGACTCACTAACATCATGTTCATGCGAGTCAAAGATAAAAAAGCTTTATGAAGAGTGCAATTTATGGTTGCATTTCATTTCCTGCAAAATTCTCCAGTTCGTTATTTAATACAATAGCGCGAAACAAATGACCGTAACATTTCACAATGTGAAGGTCATATCTATTTATAGCTTTCATGTAGAGCAATAAATACATACATAACCCACTGTGTACTACAAAATAATTAGTAATTTTCTGTAGAAGATACAAATGTAAGAAATAAATTACAAAGTTTAAAGTTTAGTTTTTACTTTGTCTTTGATACTGTTTTTATATAATATATGAAAATTGTTCCCATTCTCATCCATTCATATAACATACTGCGAGTCACCGGATGGGAAACCAATATATGACTTTACATAATAGAAATCGAAAGGAATTCTTGCATCCGAATTTATTTTTAGCTGTAAATCGAAGGGATTAATTGATAAAAATCGTGGACAAAAAAATAGTCAACACAAATAGCGCCATAAAATCAGCAGTATAATTAGTTGATGCTTCATTTTTATTATGACGAAATTCAATGAGGGAATAAAGGTTTTTGGTCCAAAGATAGCATCGGCTCAAAAATACAATTACTTTTCGTTTCAGCCAGGATGTTTATTTCGTTCTTCATTTCTTTCTTGAAGTTGTTTTTGAGCTCTTCAAATTTGTCTTCAAACAGTTTTGAAACGAAAATAATTGTATGTATCAAATTATCATTCACTCCATCTCAATGTGCATTTATATAAATTTTTCAAAAATGACATTGGTGATAATACATCTATATGAATTCAATATAAAAGTAATAGCTTAACAAAGTCAGGTTATAACTGAGAACATTGCAGTTAAACAGTATATATTATAATTTGACAAAAGTTCTTTAATCGCATCTAGGAATTATTTCTGTATTTTATATTAATACTGTACATTATTAATTTACGATATCAAAGAACAATTACATGAATTTACATCCGATGTATATGATTTGTATTCATAATATTATATACAGTTATATTTAAGGCAAACATGAATACAATTTGTTGGTGAGAATGTGAGTGATAAAGTAAGTCTTAATTTTTATTTGACAAATATCTTGCTCCATTTGTAAGATACGTATACAAAAAATCAGTAAAACCCACCTTCTTTCTTCTGTAATTCTTTCAATTGCGTCACAATCTCTCCCGTTATATTATTTCTGAAGTCCTCAAACTTATTTTGATTCTCAGCAGCTGTTTTCTCAAAGTCTTCAAGAGTATTTAAGACAGTTTCTGCCGTTTTCTTTATTTCGTTCTGCATTGTTTCTACTTTAATATCTGTGCGTATCATTTTCTCAAGGAGTTTTTCTTCGTACG